GGTGGAGCCGCCGCCCCCGGGGGCCGCGGGAGTCCCGGGAGGGGCCGGGGGGCGGCGCAGGGGGACCCGGACCGGGAGATGGCGGCGGTGGGACCCCCCGGCGGCGGTGCCGGGCTGTGTCTCCGGGAGCCGGGACCGCGGCGGGGGCCCCGTTACGGAGCGGCCCCGGGGCGGGCCGGCCCGGCGGCGTGGCAGCACCGGGGGGGACGGGGCTGGCAGGCGGGCCCAGAGCCGGGCTGGGGTCCCGCGGAGGGCAGGGGCGGTGGCGGGGCTCGGGGGTCGTGCCGGGCTGTGCCTCCTCCCCGGTGCGAGTCGCCCCCAGGGACGGGGAGGCTCGGGCGGCCCTCACGGAGGGGACGGTGCCCCTGCCCGGCCGCGGTGCCCCTGCCCGGCCGCGGGGCCCCGAGGTCTCCGCCGGCCGCTCCGGCGTTGGGGAGGCCCCGTGTGAAGCCCAGAAGGATGGCGGTACTTGGGAATTCCCCGCTCTGTGGCGCCGCGGCCGGTCCCGCCTGCGGGCAGGTGCCAGCCCCGCGGCCGGGGGCTCCCGGAGCCCGCACGGAGCATCCCGGCGCCTGCCGGGGCTGTGTCCCTGGGGATCCCCCTCGTCCCCAGCAGCTCTGCCGCTGCCCTGCCGACACCTGTGTGCGCCGTGCCTGTCGCAAGGGGATGGAAGGTTTTCCTCCAGCGGGAACACCGAGGCGGCTTCCCGAGATCAGGATTTTGCGCTTGGGGAGGCAAGGGAATCACTTTGCATTTTTAATTGCTGAGGTTTCTGTTACTCCAGTGCCTCGATTATAACAGTTTTGGGAAGATTTTCGTGCTCGAAAAACAACGGTGAAGGAACAAGTGGGTGTGTTTTCTTGCCTTGGAAGCGAATATGCCTACTGGAATTTTAAAGTATTTCCTTAGTGTGTGAGGTAGAAAGGGTCAGCTGCAGAGCGTGATCTAATATTTCTTCAAAATTCAGTCTTTAAGTAGATTTTTTTTTTTTAATTCTGGAGCTTCAACATTCAAAATACTACGTTTCTTTTTTAACATACTCATATTAAAGGACCTGTCCTACCTGTTTATCTTTTATTTTATCAAAAGGGCTTTTTAAATGTAAGTGGCTGATAATACACAGGCTGCAGCTAAGTCTGTAAGGGAGAAAAGAAAGAGTGTTTTTTTCCAATTAAGTATTAATTCCAGCTAACTGTCTCTGTAAACGGTCTTGCAGAAGGCTGAGGTTAAATTCTGCCCTCTTCGTAATGTATGTTTTGTATCCTCCAGGAATATGTAAATAGCTCTTTGAAGTATTAGGAACTACAGACCTCTCTCTGGTTACTCTAAACCACAGCTGCTTATTAAGGAGAAAGGCTTTACTCCTCCTGACTTCTGTGGGTTTGTGCTTCTCATGACCATTCATGGGGTTTTACCCCTGCTTGTAGAAATTGAGTGTGTAAAATAATCTACAGACAGAGCATTTCACTGGGTTTTTGTGCTGTTTTATCCCATTTTCTCTTCCACACTGCTCGTTTCCGTTGTCTCTTTGGATGCCAGCTATGGTGTGTGGGGCTGTGAAGGATCAAGCTTTGTAAAAGAAGTTCCTTGGGAGACCAGGCAAGCGAGAAGCACCACAGGGCATGTGAAGAAAGCTGCTTGGTTTGGTGTCAGGAAGCTCAGGTGGCTGGAGCTGGGATTCCACAAAGGCAGAGCTGGAATTAGGGGCTGCTGCCACATCCCTGGCACCACATGCTCCTGAGAGACCTGCTGTGTTTGGGGACCCTTGCTAGGGATGTATCAGGAGGGTGATGCTTATAGGGGGGCTTTAAAGGAGATTTGTTTTTCTCCTTCAAATACCTGCTCCCAGTGATTCTTTTGGGCAACTAGAAGTGAGAACAGAGAGCATTTGTTGGGTTCATTTGGTGGAGCTTAGAGTTGCTCACCATTCTTGGGAGCTGAGCAGGACTGATGGCAAAGTTGAGATCTGTGAGAGCTGCAGGTGAGAAAGGCAGGTTTTCCAAGGGAATTGATACCAAGGATGCTGGAAATACCAGGAGACATGCAGGTTATTTAGTTTACATGAGTACAGAAGTGCTGTTTCCACGCTCAAATGTAACATCTTAAGCTGTTTTCATCGTGGGGCCCATTGCCTGTGTTGTTACACTTTGACAGGAGCTACAGGAAAACCTGAAGGAATGTGTTATTGTTAAGTGAAACAAAGTAAATTTTGTGCATCTTGTAGTGACTTTCAGTTCTGTAACCTGCATGCTTTTCATTCTTAACCTCTACCATCAGTTTTGTCCATAGTTCTGTTTCTGAAAAAGGGCAGAAAAGTAGAAGGCAGCTGCTTGTATCCCCAAGTGTTAAGAAGTTCTCTGAAGTTAGTTGTCTTCAATAAAAGCTGTAGAAAGGCATATCATCTGCAAATGACTGCGAAGAGAAGCCCAAAATAAATACATATTTTTAATCTGTGTAGCTTTTTGGTTCTAAGTTTGCAGAATGCAATATTTAAGCTTTCTCTATTTACTTTGATACAGTAAACATGTTTTGAAACTTTAATTTTTGGCTGTCATCATATTTTGAGAGCTTCAGCCTGAAATAATTGATTTTGATAAATGCAGTCACTGACTGGATGACGCTGACTGGAACTCAGTTACCAACTTTTGAAATTTGGTTTTTGAATATTCTGCTTGATCAACCCACAGAAATTACAATCTGTGTTT